CAACGCTTCGTCGTTATCGTTGGGCTTTTTAGTTCACCTTGTTAGGTTCAAATCTAAAACCGGGTTTAATTGGCGTTTTTGTGTTCCGCATCAATCTAGTTGTGGGTTTCATAGTCACCGTTGCTACGGGGTTGGTATCAGATACCCTGAGCAGTAACCACATGACCAAGAAAACCCATTTGATCGAGCCAAAATTCAAACTTCTTGAATTTGGTATATAATTTCTCTTTCCTCAAAGTTTTGAGTATTACTCGGAGTTGTTCCTCATGCTGTTTCTTATCTTTAGAGTACACGAGTATGTCGTCAATAAATACTATGACGAACTGGTCTGAGTACTGATGGAACACCCGATTCATTAGATCCATAAATATAGCTGGAGCATTGGTCAAACCAAAGGGCATGACAGTAAATTCATAATGTCCATAACGAATCCTGAACGCGCTTTCCTTAACCTCCAGCTAATGATACCCCGACCTCAAGTCGATCTTTGAAAATACTATTGCACCCCTTAACTGATTGAATAAATCATCTATTCTTGGAAGTGGATATCTATTTTTTGACAGTTAGATGGTTTAACTCTCGATAGTCAATGCACATCCTCATATTTTCGTCTTTCTTCTTCACAAAAGTACTGGAGTGTCCTAAGCAGATACACTCGGTCGAATGAAACCTTTTTTCAGCAACTCCTCCAAATGTAACTTCAATTCTTGAAGTTCTTTTGGTGCCATTCTGTACGGGGCCTTAGAAACTGGTAACGCACTGGAATTAAGTCAATTGTAAATTCTACTTACCTATGTTGTGGAATGCCAGCAAATCTTCTGGGAATACGTCTACAAAGTCTCGAACAACGTTGATATCATTAATGGTTGTTTTTGTATGTGTGGAACTGATGATATTAACTAAGAATCCTTGGCATGACTCATTTCTCAGCATATTCTCTGCTTGCAAAGCCGATACAATGTGAGGTAGAGACTTAAACCTTGCCCCAAAGAAACGGAACTCTTCACCTCCTGGTTTGTGAAACAACATTTCTTTCTCGTAACATTGAATGGTCGCATGATTGAGTCTCAACCAATTCATGCCTAGAATAACGTCAAAGTCTTTCGTCTCTAAAAGGTATAAGTCTAGGTGCAGTACCTTTCCATCAACTCCAACTTCATCGCCTTAGTCATTTGATTTGTGCAAGGAGTTTTTCTTGTAGGGATGCTAACGTCTAATTCATTATTCATTTTCACACATGCAAAGTTAGACCTAGTGAAGAAGGATGCAGAGGTAAAAGAATTTGTAGTCCTTGAATAAAAAAGTACGTATGCAGGTATATCAGATAATAATAGAATACCCATTTTCGTAACTATATTGTTAGACTTAGAGACGAAGAATGCAAAATCGAAAAACATAAATAGGTACTTCAAATAAAATACCTACGATCACATTCGGATTCTGCTCTGCATCATGCTGATTCGCGGCAAAAACTTGGGTCTTTCCTTACTTGATCTTATCCTGATCATCGTCCTTCTTCTTTGGAGGTTCAATACAATTTAAAGCAATGTGTCTCGGCTTACCACACCGAAAATACATGTTCTTCCCAAGCAAGCATTCACCTCTGTGGAGTTTATTACACTTAGGACAAGGTGTAATACTTTCACTCGTCCCCTGTGTAAGCTGTAGAAATTCTGATTCTTTGAAATCTTTCAAAGCCTGTGGGAAATACTTTGCCATCACTTCATCCTTAAACTGCGCCCAAGTCAAGTTGCGCTGCTGCTATTCGGTCCAAGTGCATGAGACAGACTCCCACCAGTGACAGGCTGCTCTAATAAACATAAACTTCGCACATAGTACTTTATGTGCATCCGTACAATCAATGTGTCGAAAGATGCGTTCCAAACCTCTGATCCACTCATCAACAGCCAGTAGGTCGAAACCCCCGTCAAAAGTAAGGGGCTTGTACATACGAAACTGCTCAACTACTGAGACAGTTCCAAGGACAAATGGAGGTGCATTTTGCTATGGTGGTGTGTTTTATGGTGGAGGTGCTTGATTCTGCCTGCTCAACTCTTGTACTGCTCCCAATAAGTACCGCATCAAATTCATGTGGGTAGGTGGTGCCATTTTCTAAATTTTTTTATATTAAGTCACTCGTCACGTACCTGTACCAGTCTAACATGTTATACCCATATTCACATAATATATTATAAATTTAGCGAGGAAAAAAATGCATGTCTTAAAATTTTAAAGTATGCAATTTAAAAGATGTAAATTATACAAAATGTTTGAATAAATTCTTTTTCTTATTACGCGTAACATTTAAACATAAAAGCCCAATATTAATATTATATCGTCATTTTCATTTCATTTTTTTTCACTTTTTTTTTTTAAAAATAAAATACCAATTGCTAAAAAAAAATACACACATTCCAAATTTATATTTTAAATAAATATAACAATTATTTTAATAATTAAAAATACACCTCAAAATTGACAAACCTTTTTTTTTTCGATTGTTGTTCATGATTTTTTTTT